TACTGGATAAATAGAAGGCATAAGTAACAGAAATATTGAAACTATAAGGAGTACAGAATCAAGTCTATACTTTGATGCTTTTATAAGAAGCATTGTTAGTAATTCGCTACATTTTTGATGAAATACGAAGGTTCAAATGTCATTACATACTAAACTAATGGAAATTCAGAAGTGAAAAATTTAAAGTTTTTGAATAACGAATGACTGATGTACACATACGTTTGTATACATGCAGATGAGTTCTTTATGAAGAAAGAATTATTAGTCTTTTCCTTTAATCATTCTTAATTTATTGAAATCTTGGAATATGCCTTAGATTCTTCGTCAAATGTTTCCTTTTTAAACTATGTCTTCTCAACCGGAATTTCTACAAAGCTTTTGATTTGTTACTTCCCTGATACTTTTCATCGTTCGCAGTTCCTGAAAATTTCTTGTCATTTATTATTGATATTGCTTTTTTTTTTTCCGAAGAATTAGTTCAGTATAACATTTGAAGCACTAGATTATTGACTAAAATAATGTACAACCGGCTGACACTGTGGACCTTTTTCTCAATGCCAATTAAAATGGTTATGTCAAACTTGAAGTGACACGACAATGATGGATATTCTGATGAAATAAGTTTGGAGACGTTCGAGTGTGCTTTTAAGAGAACTTAGAACTTGACATATAAGCTAAAGTATTTAAAGATGTCAACACAAACATAATGTTTTTTTTTTTTTTTTAAATCCAACTGCTACCACCACCTGAACAATTTGTGTCATTTGCTTTAACGTTTTTCATTTTTTTTTTTAGTAAAGAAATTTCAAATTTCTATTTCAGGAACAAACACTTATAAATGTAGAATTGAATCGTGGACCGAAAGGTTTCGGTTTTTCAATTCGAGGTGGACAGGAGTTTGACTCGATGCCATTGTTCGTCTTGCGAATTGCAGAAGATGGACCGGCAGCTTTAGATGGTCGTTTAAAGGTTGGCGATCAATTGATGGAAATTAATGGACAGTCAACACGTAGTATGACCCATAGCAATGCAATCCAAATCATCAAACAATATCCTAATGTTAGATTATTGGTTAGGAGACCAAAAGGTTTCTGATTTTTTTTTTTTGCGAATTGTTTTATTTGTTGCTATATTAATATTTTGGGTAATATATGTCGTTTATTTTCTCTCTTAATATGTGTATTGTTTATGATAACATTTGGAAATTCTAGTAATTTTTTTGAATTTCGGATGAATTATTAAAATCCACTTATTTGACATTTTGGATAAAATCAAATACTAATAGCTTGTTTACCTGCGCCGCATTGTAGTGATTAGATTTTAGTTTGATGATGTTTAAAATAAATGTCTTATTTACTATACTGATAACTTCTTTGATGCTATTATTGTTGTTTTATGTATTCATATCACTTTTGTGATAACTGTGTGTATCTTTTGTAATTAAAAGAAAGAAAAGAAAAAAGGAAATGTCATTTTTATGCATATATATTCTGTGTTTGTAATGTCTTGCCTTTGCTGTACACAGTTTTTGCTATTAAATCTGTGTTAAATTGGAAGTCTTCCATTTCAATAATTATTGCCTCAGTTACGTTTAGCTATTTGCTTTAAAAAAAGTTCCATTTCATAAAAATGGAGTGGAATTTTCTCGTTTATATATATACATACATATACATAAATATCATTTGCTTTCTTTCGTTTTTAGATCTCATTTTGTACATTTTGAATGTTGAACTTCTGAATGCTTTGAAATTGAAATTGCATTTTTAAAATTAAATTGAAACTAACAATGATATCTTAGTTTCATACAGAATTTTGCATTCCAGTTCATAGAGAAAGTTTTTTTTTTTATCAATTCTTTCGGTCGTAACTTACGTGGATTCATTTTTGAATATATCTTTACTAGATTTCCAAAGTGTTGTAAGAGAAGTTTTTGATGATAAATCGATTCCATTCATTTCTATTTTTTCTTTTCGCAACATTTTGCATGGTTACAGTAGTAGTATGATTGGATCGGTAAATTTCAAATATGAACAATATTGCTTTCTGGTAATATGGTGACATTCATTTACTCTGCTATAAATGCAAGATGAAAAAATTATTTCATTAAGGTAAGAATGGACACACATATCTTTTGTGATGAAGGAGGATACCCGTGATTGGTATTTAGTGCAAATTTGAGAGGCCTTTGGGTAAGGATGCAATTTTCCAAATGAAAATTCATCAATGGGGCTAATTTGATAGTTCAGTTCAAATTCATAGTGATAGGACGAATGGTCAAAACACTTCACCGTAAATTGTTTGTCAAATGCTTAGCTTGATTAGCGCTTTATTCCATCTCTTCTGGTGTTGTTCTACGCTGATGTACTCTCACTTAAGATTTCGCTTATTGTATATTAAATTTGGAATGGTGGAAATGATTTCCGGATTGTATTCCGATTAATTTGTCAGTATTTTAAATCAGCTAGATTACCTCAAAAATATACATGCGGTATGTAACTCCACTTTTTTTTCCTTTTTTAAAACCTTTTTTAAAAGAGTGATAACTCCGATTTTCCGCACCGTTTCACTCGGAATTCAAATGTATGATTCATGCTTGTAAATTCTTCGCCAGCTTATTGCTGAATGAAAGGATATCATAAGTTTTCTGGAAACTCAAGTAAATAAAATTAATTAAATAAAAGAGATAAATGAATAAACAAATAAACAATAAGTAGCAAAATAAATAAGATAAAGTAAATGAATAAATAAATAATGAAAGAATAAATATATAAGATACATGAAATATACTGCATAGATTAAATACATAACAAATAAATTAAAATGAATAAATTAATTAATTGAATCAAGTGAATGAATAAACAAGTAAGCATGCAAAAAATTATTTGTTACTTAATAAACAAGTTTCATCTGTTGTTTGATGAATAAACAAATAATGCATATTAATTAATCAAACAATACATGTTTAATAATTGTGGCTTATTATTTAATTGCTTGTTAATTTATTATTTATAAATAAAAAATAAAATTTAATAATAAATAAATAAATAGGTGGATGGCAAATAAATAAATAAATGACTTAATAAATAATAATAAATAAGTAACTAAATGATTAAAAAATGATAAATAAATAATAAATAGATAAAAAGTAAATAAATGAACAAGTATGTGTAAAAAGCCGAAATTATATATATATATATATGTAAATAATAAATGAATCAATAAATAAGTGATTAATTGTAAATAAATGTAATTATAAATAAGTAAAATAAATATAGTAAATCATAAATAGAGGTAATAAGTAAAAAGTAAATTTTAAATAAACAAATGAATAAACTAATAAATGAATGAATAATAAATAAATAAATAAATAACTAGATAATTAAATAAATAAATAATCAAATATATTAATGAATGTTTAAAAAAATAATTTGGCATGCAATGATCAATTAATAATAAATAAGTAAATGATAAATAAATATATTTTAGAAATTTCCGTGATTTTTTCATTTATTTTCGAATTTTTGGGAGTAGTTTATTGGTTTGCATGACTTCATTCCTTTTTTTTTTTTAATTTATCGTTTGAAGGTTTTAAATTTTGATGGAATATAGCAGGAAAATGAGGAATGACAGGAAAAAACATCGATTACAGTCAATAAACGATTTCAATTCACGAAAGGTATGACACATCCTAGTCAACGGTGAGAGTTGTCTTGGAAACGGATTTTACTGGAACAGCTTCTAAGAGATGAATGAAAATGAACCGATTGTAAAATGTAAAAAGAAAATTAGTTTTTGTTGCTTCTCATCATCTGTGTCATTATTTTATTTCATTATAACTTAATAATTTTATTAAATAAAAAAAAAAATTAAATAAAAAATACAATGAATGCATTTCAATCATAGACAATAATCCATTAATCGAATTATCAACCATTTTTTTTTTTTGTTGAAACAAATTTCTATCATTTTTAATTTTTTTTTTAAAAAAAAAACCAACTGTTTCATTCAAGCTAGATTTAAATTTCGTATTTTACTATTATACTTATTCAAAGTTGTAGTAATGAAAGTCCTTCTACTAAAATGTATGATGAGAAAATTTTTGTTATGATAATAATATGCATGATGGATTAAATCTTGTAATTAATGAATTTCTATTACTTGGGCATTTATTACTCGTCAAACAACTAACTATTAATAATCTTTCAAAATTTATTCCACACACTATTCGAATGCATCATCGAATTTCTCAAATATCATTTTCATAACAGACATAGTTAATAGTAAATTATTGAAATAATCTCTGTTCTCATACATTGTTCACTACATTCAATTGTAGCATTCAACAAGCAAAGAAATCATTAATTATCTCTTGTGAGTCATAAAAATGGCGACGATGGAAGAGGTAAAAATGCAAAATGTGCAATCGAGAAATTTATTTGTCTTCTAGTCGAGACATTCTGCTTATAGGATCGATGCTATCCGCTGGTTTCAATAATGATAATTCAATGATATACATCCAAGTGAATTATCAATTGTGATAATGTAATTGTGACCGTTATATTTCGAATATTAGAAGCAATATTACGTCTTCACAGTCCTATTTTCATCTATGTAATAATCGATGGTTGCTTTGTAGTAATAATAGAAAAGTGAGATATAATAAGAGGCTGAACCTTTTCTTTGGTCAAGCATCATTTCGGTTCACTTCCGCTTGGTCCAGTCTCGACCATTACTGACACGCCCAAAAGTGAACTCTACCCATCTCACTCTTTCATTCTTTCCCTTTTCAATATTCATTATTTTATTGTCCCGTTTGGTGCTCTGTTGAAATCGGTCACTTATTTTACTCACTAATTATATTTCAAATTTTACTCAACTAAAATTGTTTTATTCCCACATTCTGCAATAATTTCACCAACAATGTGCAGTACAAATGATTCGCTAAAATTTGATGTAGCAATATAATAGTTTGAAAAACTAAACTTGCAATTACTTTAGCAATGAAGAATTTCTGTCAATTACAACATAAATTGACAGTTATAATTTATTTCATTTTATTAATAATCAATGCAATCACATTTCATCTTAATCCTCCGGTACTTGATAGTTGTACCGCTGGTTGCTTGTTACCAATTGAAAATAGCACCATATGGCTACCGTACAATTATCCACCATGTATTCATCCTGGTCAACCAATGCTACGTTGGTCTAATTCAGTAACATGCAATAGACCAAATTTTCTAACTTCACCAAGTGCTTCCCTAGATTCCTTATCCGGTATACTATTTGCTGAAGAACGTGTATGCTTTTACGTAAAACCATGGCATGTGGTATATTCATATGATTGTTCTGGTAATAATATATCCCGAAAAAGTGCCGTTTTTCTCGATCATAAAAAATACGCTAGAAAAAGACGTCCAAAGCGATGGATGCGAAGAAGAAATCCAACAGTACCACGGATACACTTTCAACAAGAGCGATACATTACTGAAATTCCGGAAGATACACCAGTTAATTCACTAATTATTAAATTACATGCCACTCATATCACTAATGAATCAATGTATTATGCTATGGTAGCACCAGAAGACTCTCGTTCAGCTAATATTTTTACCTTAGATACAGTTTCCGGCGAAATAAGGTATGTGTTGTTGTTGTTTTTTGTTTGTTTTTAAGTATTAAAATTTTTACAAATTGGAATTTAAAAAAGCGTGTGTTTATTGTTGATACTTAAAAAATGAAAAAAAAAAAGAGGTCAAATTCCAAGATTTCTAAGTTATTTTCAACCAATATTTTCACACATCATTGATTCCATTATTCAAATATTTGTGTTTTCCGCAAATTCTTGTTTTCACTAAAAAAAATGAACACTTTTTGAACTTGTTTTAATACAACGTCTAAAGTCTATCCAGAAGTGGCAAAGATATTTATTTTAAAAAATTTTTATAAATAATTTCTTATGAAACAACAAATTCATCATTGAACTCATCATTGTTTCACTTTCCTATTTTTTTCTTTTTTTTTTTTTTTTCATTGATATAACTTTCTTGAAGCAATTACTTGCTATCGCTTACTATTTTATGCATTTTTAATGATTTATCAAATTAAATAAGAAATTCACTCATCAATTGGTTTCTTTGTTGGCTATTTTTTTATTACAAATTTCAATCAAATTAAAAGCTTTTTCCACCATTAAAGTTTTTTTTTTCGAAAATTTCGCTATTATTAACGATATGCATAAAAAAATAGATATGCTTGCGAGTATGTTTTTGCATTTTGCATTTAAATGCACTGGATGATTGATAATTTCATCTCTTGTGATCCTTTTTCTTTTTTTTTTTTCTCCCACATCATTGAAATGAACAAATTAAAGTTAAAAGTTTGAATCATCAATTATTTGTATTATTTCTGCAATTTAAAAAACAACAAAATTTGCTTACTCGATACTTTTCACAATTTTAAAATCTAAATTTGCATCCGAAATATATGGTTTAACTTAAGTAGTGCTCTTTGCTTTCATTTTAAACTTTCTTGAAGAACATATATCGAACATATAATCCTAACTTTAAAGTAGTAAGAGCATGCAAAATTACGAGAAGATTCCTTTGTCTTCACACAATAATCTTTGATCTGAAAGATAATTTAGGTATTTGGATACTTTTGAACAAATCAAGTAGCTACTGTTATTATTCATTTCTAATTCTCAGACATTTCCTATTCTCAAATTTATTTTAATTCGAACGATTTAAATCAGCTTTGATCACTTATAAAATTAATTGGTACAATGTCAACGTCAACAAATTGTTAATTTTCAAAATATATTGTTTTTTTTTTTTGTTTTAACAATACAATGCTATTAGTAGAATAACTTTGAAATGTGAGTTTTTTTTTAAAAATTTTTGTTAGAATTGGAAAGGCGTTAGATCGAGAAACATTGGATCGTCATGTGTTGAAAGTAACAGCTTATGAACGTCTCGATCCGGCTGTATCAGCAAGCAGTTCGGTAATTGTGGAAATTCTGGATGTCCAAGATAATGCACCAATTTTCGAACGCAATTCCTATTATGCTGAAATACGAGAGGATGCACCAGTAAATAATTATACCCTTGGCAAATGAAATTAGATAGAAGATGCTGTTTCTTGTCAAAAGCAAACCAATGAATAGTTGTACAGAGAGGGTGGAACCTTTTGATACAAATTATAGAGTTTGCTCCTTATCAAATTAAAATTGAGTAAAAGTTTAAAGAAATAATTATGTCATTTAAAATATTACAAATACATTCTTTCATCGATAAGTTTCAATCAAATTATTGTCTTAAAAAATTAAAATAAATAATTTTTGAAATTGAACATTATTACTTAATAAAAAGCACTAACAATAATTAGCATTTTATTAATTATTGTTTATTTGCTTTTACATGGTGAATAATGAAAATAAGAAATGCTTAACACAAATGCAACTCTTCAAATCATTTAGCGACAAAAAAAGTTAAATGATATATAAGCTTTTAAAAATTTCAAAAATTGATTTTTGAATTGCTCATTTCTAGATTGGAACAACATTAGCATCAGTTTTTGCACGTGATCTAGATATCGGTTTGAACGGTGAAATTACTTATTCGCTTGGTGAGGAAGATGGCGCTAAATTACTTCAAATTCATAATTCAACAGGAGTTATTCAAACAGCGCATTATCTGGATCGAGAATTGATAAATATTATTCGAATACATGTATATGCAACCGATAAAGGAGTACCACCGATGACATCAAGAGCTCTTCTGGAGATTAATCTTCTTGACGTCAATGATAATGCACCTGTTTTTGAACAGGTTATTTAAAAATCTAATTTCAACTTCAGTTCAGTAGTTTTTGATTATTATTTTTTTGTCAAAAAAAAAAGCATGTATTATGCATGGTTGTTAGGGAATTAGATTAGATTAATTCAAATTTTATATTGCTGATAAACTGCACTAATTCAAAAAGCATAAAACTTAATGGAAAACTCTTATGTGTTTTTTATCCATTTCAACAAATATTATTTTAAAAAGGATTAACCAATCGTCCTGTGAAACAATATTTATTTAAATTGTAATAACATTTGAGAAGTAAAATGTATTAGTTTCAAAAATTAATGAATTCAAGTGTCTTTTTTTTCTAAAAAAAAAAAAAAAATAAAATAAAAATCTCTTGAGAAGTAATAGAAATTTCAGAAACTTTGCAATACCACAATAATGGAAAATATCACCATACCATCTAATATTTTACAAATTAAAGCATCAGATAGCGATTCTGGACAAAACGGTACATATTCATTTAGATTATGGGAAGAAATAAATTTTAAATAAGTTAAATTCCTTTTTTACTTCATTATTAAAATCAATGATTTAAGTTACACATTTGATTTCAGGAAAAGTACATTATAGCATTGTGGCATCTAGCGTCAATGGATTTTCCATAGACTATGAAAGTGGTTGGATTAAATTGCATCAAAAATTAGATTCACGATTCAATCCTGCAACACTTTTAGTGCGAGCCAAAGATTCAGGCCAACCTGCTCAATCTTCAACAATTAATTGTGCTATAAACATCGTTGATATTAATGATCATGTACTAATTAATTACTATATTATCAATTATCATTTATTCCTTAATATTTTCTAAACGATTTCTTCAAATTACAAAATGAAATGTTCACTTTCTTGTCTTGAAAAAAAAAAACAGTTATGTAATCAATTATTGGAATACTAAAATTATTTAAATGATCAAGAAATTTTTATTTTTCTATAATTAAGAAAGTTTTTTTCAGAAACCACATTTTGTTGCATCACAGCAAGAGTTATTTGTGGAAGAAAATGTACCAATTGGATTTGAAATAACAAGAATTTTTGCTATTGATGAAGATAATGATATTAATGGCCGAATTACATATAAATTAGATGGAGAAGATAGTGCCAATGAAACATTTCGAATTGATCAAACGACGGGAATTATTACAACTATAAATAAACTTGATCGAGAGGAAAAGGAGAAATATATATTTAAGGTAGTAAAATTACTTTTTTTTTTTTTGTGATCATGATCAATGTATTTCATTGCTTACTTCTGGAATTCGCAATCTTCGACTAGAAAGTCCAAATATTTCCAACTAAATCTTTTCACTTTTTTTTTTTTAAGACAAGAGGGAACGGAGGAGAAAAAGTCTTTTGGTTATTAAACTTATTGTGATAGTTGTTGGAACAAAGAAAAAAAAGTGTTTCTCACAACCTAAATTTTGCAAAATTTTTTTTTTTATTTCAGGTAAAAGCAGAAGATGGTGGAGAACCGCCACTATCTGATAGTTTATTGATAACAATAATAGTTCGTGATATCAATGATAATGCACCACATTTTGAGCCTAATTTTTATAATATTACGATACCAGAAAACGAAGTACGTGGAACGTCATTAATTGCTGTAAAAGCTATCGACCATGATAATGATGATAAAATAGTATATCGCATTGAGAGAGCCGACAAAGACATTTTTTCACTTGTTCACTCAGCTGATCAGGTCCTTTTTTCTATAGTTTTAAATTTTAAATTAAATTTAATTATTTGATTGGACAAGTATCTAGTTGGTTTAATTTTCATTTTGGAAAAAATTTAAATTCATTTGGAAAACTTCTATGAAACAGAAGAGTAGAAATATAGTATGACACGTAATGCTTTCATTAAAAATCACTCATTATTCCTTGTTAAGAATAGTAAAACTGAAAATAAGCATTGATCCCGGGTTTTGTTGAAATGAGTCGGTTCAGTTCAGAAGACTAAGAGTATGCGGTAAAATGCCGGTCATATGCGCCATAAAATGAGAGTTTGAACGGATGCTGTTTGAAGTGCAACATTCTGTTTCTACCGATTCTCGCAATAGTTTCCCAGGGGGGTTTAAAGATTTCTATGAAGGCAATTCTGAAATTTTGAAAACAAGATGCACAGATTCATAACTTAGCTTTGATTATGAATTGAATGTTTTTAAAATATTGTCTACCAATCATCTTTTCAAAATTTTTCAGTAATTAATACGATTATAAAAATTACTCATTAAGCTTTCGCAAGCTTGCTTGGTCACAAAAGAACTAATATTCTAAGGGCATGAAAAACCTTCGAACTGTGCATGTTACTGTCAACAAACTTCGCTGTACAAAACAATTTTTAATTTTAATTTTCAAACCTATTCATAAGAAGACCTGAAGCCTTTCCAGGGAGCTATATTATCGTTGTCAGGAGAAATTGATCGTATGGATGATACGTTACGTGTGTTGATAATAGCAACTGATAAGGGTGGTTTAACAGGTACATGCACAGTAATTATTACTGTTGCTGATGTTAATACTGCACCGGTATTTCTTACCCATCCATTCACTGTACATATCCCGGAAAATATTCCAATTGGTTCAGAAGTCATACAAGTGAAAGCTGAAGACGAAGATCGACATGACAATGCCAAACTTACCTATTCCATTGGTAAATTTAATAATTATTCCTCATAGTTCATCAAAATGTCACATTAAAAACTCACTTTTATATACTAAATTTCTCGATCGATTTTTTCGAGAGTTATATTTTAAAATTACACCTAAAAATGATCACTATCAATAACTGTTTGCAAGATTTGCAAGTATTTTTCAGACAGTAAAGAATTTAGCATTGATAAGAATGCCGGCTTGATAGTGATAGCTGAAGAGATAGATCGAGAAGAGTGTAGTAGTTATCTGCTTAATATCACTGTCACCGATCATGCAGCTAATCCACTCAGTGCAAGCACATTTCTCGAAGTTATTCTAGATGATGGTAAATTTACTTTCATTTCAATTCATCAATATTTAATCATTGTGTTTTCTATAACTATTATCAGTGTTTGCTTCATTTGTTTTAAATTTTCAAATCTTTTTTTTTTTGTCAGACTTTATTTTCTCTTTCTGACATTAATTTAATTTCACTTAGACATTTCTAACTTTTCATCTATTTATTTCATCACCTCATCACTCACCAATAAGAAATGCGACAATGTTGATGACAAATTCATCATATACATACTCAAAATGATTACTCATAGAATTCTTTTCCATGCTTGTCAATTGCAAAAGAGAGACAAAAAAAAAAAAAAAAAGAGGAAGTAGCTTTGTCCAAACTTCAAATGTGTGCTCCTCAATGCAAAATTGTACAAAGATCAATGAGCCATAATATACTTTCTTTCCTTCATATGTTCGCCTCTCTTTTCATTTTGTCTTCTTCCCTTAATTAATCTGACAAAATGAAAGATATTGAATGTGACCAATGATTGTCACCAGTATTGCTCTAATGTTTACTGTAGTTATTGCAATCTCTTGTCACATTGCTAATTATTGCTTATTTGATTGCCTTGCTATCCTTCAACTGTTCTATCACACCTCAACAATTATCTTAAATGAAAAAGTGGAAGGAAAGATGTTTCATCAAATTTTACAAAAAATATTTGATGTTAAAGCAGAAAGACTGCAATAAATTAAAAAAATTGTTAATGATTAATTTATCTTTCAGGATAGGTTTAATGATTAATTTCTATCTTTCAAGTGAGCAATGTCACATTAATTTGCAATTTTATTCCAGGAAAATAATAGGATCTAAAAGGATCAAATAGGAAATCCAATATGACTCATTTTAATCGAATTCACGTCTGCAATATCAATAAGCAAAAAGGAAAAAAAAAAGCCATTGTAAACATTTTAATTAATAAGGCTTTTGGTAGCGAGAATTATGCTAAGAGGTTTGAGGACTTCGTATAGAACCTACGGATTACTCATGGGAATACAGTAATTGGAATGCCTCATTCATTCTTGCAATAAAATATAATAAAGTTAAATTTAAGGAAACAAAAATTAGAAACAATTTAATAATTATGTAAAATCTAAGCAAATACTCTCAGAAATCTTAATCATTAACCTCAAAGTAATTTGTCAATTTAAAATATTTCAAAATTCTTATTCGAATTCCCGTAAATTATTCCATTCACTCTTTCACTCTGATTTAAATCGTTTTCTACAGTTGTTTTCAGCAAACTTTTATGCCTTCTTGAAATTAATCTCCTTGCAGTATTTCAAAATATTTCAAATTCTCTGCTTTTTAAGTTTTTTATTAAAGTATATTATTTTAAGTCAATGATAATGCTCCGGAATTTACGTCTGAAAATTACACGGTTGCAATAGCAGAAGATACACCAACCGGAACATCATTCACTCAAGTATCAGCTATTGATATAGATGAGGGTGATAATGCAATTATTGACTATTACCTGATTGAAGAAAATGGAAATAGTGACACTTTTAAGCTAGATAGATCGTCTGGAACACTACGAGTAGTTAGCAAGTTGGATCGTGAAATGATTGCCAGGTTAGCTCCTTCATAAAATACATTTTAGAAATTCATATGCTATTTCATTGTTTCTGAGAAAAGATGAAATTAAGGAAGAAACAAATTTCTAATCATTTCATAAACAAATTTGTCTTTTCCAACAACGTAGGTTATATTAAAAATCTTAACAATGCTTATCTCCATTAATCACTAACGAATATAATTTTGCCAGGTATGAACTAACAGTGAAAGCACAAGATCGTGGTAATCCATCGTTATCATCTTTTTCTATCGTATCAATAGTTATCATTGATGTGAACGACTATGCACCACAATTTGAATCACTTCGATATGATTTATGGATCACGGAAAATAGTCCTATAGGTACTACAATTGGTACGATTATTGCTCGTGATCAAGATGAAGGTGACAATGCGCTCATACAATTTCGAATATTTGGTGGCGTTGATGCAAAGCTTTTCGATATTGAAACGGTATGTTCTTATCTAATTATCTTAATTTAAAAAAAAAAAAAATGAATTGAAAAAAGTGAGAGAATTAAAAATGAATGAGTAATTATTATTCTTAAACCCTCAAAAACAGTAAAGCGTACTGCTTTGAACATTCAGAAAGAATTTTAATAAAATTCCTTCTCATATTGCAGGATTCAAGCCAAAACGGTGTGGTGCATATACTTTCGAGAGCAATTTTCGATTATGAAGCAAAAAAGAATCATTTTTTTCTTGAAATCCAAGCAAGCAGGTTTATTTTTTTTTTTAATTTCATTAGCAAGTTAATTCCATTTTAATAGATTATGTTTGTGTTGACATTTGTGTTGACATTTGCTTTAGTCATGTTTGTGTTGACACTTATGACATGTTTGTTGTTTGTGTAAAATGAGATGATTTCAGTGGTCAGTTAAGTTCTATTGTACCTGTTTATGTTCATGTCAGTGATGTTAACGATAACAGACCTCAACTTCGAGATTTCACTATTCTTTATGCAAATCATATTGATGACCCTATGGAACAAGTGATAGGATATGTTCCAGCTTTGTCCGTTTTTCATTAATTAAATTTACTTATTGACATCCAAATTCTCTTTTAGTTTCGGTTTTTTTCTAAAATTGCAAAAAAAAAAAAAAAACAAAAAGTTTGATATTTCTCTCATTGCTAGTATCGCTAATTTAAATCATACAAGAGCATCAGTGCTGCTAAAGTTAAGAGGATTATATAGAAAGTTCAATCTTAAAATTTTAAATTCTTAATGTCAGGATAAATTTAGTGATCCAGATCATAATGCAACCTTGGAGTATGACATTGAAATAAACGATATTTTAATGGTGGATCAATATAAAGGTTCCATTATGCCGAAGAATATTTGGAAGCGACATATAAATACTGTTTATGAAATCTGTGTTTCTGGTAAAAATAATTTATCAATTCTTAATTTGAAATTCATTCATCTAAGAAATAAGACAAAAAAGATATGTTTAGAGCCTGAGTCTGAAATAATGACATAAATTTATAGCCAGGAATATATTTTTAGATGGTCCAAATAACGTTTGTGCCAAATGTCGATTCATTTATATACCCATGGATGATACAATTATTCGAGATACGGTTACTCTTGGATTCCCGGATATTCGTTATGAAGAACTGTTGGATAATGATGTATTTGAACGATTCACAAGTGCCATATCACTTTTAGATGATTGGCATAGCGATGATATTTGGGTATTTAGTATTCATACTCATAACAAGTACACGAATGTATCATTTATTGTTCATCGGGGAAATACCGTTCAAAGGTAAGTAATTTATTTTATTAAATGCATAAACCATGCATTCTTTAGTTAATTAAATTGCTGAATTTTTAAACTAATTAACTTGCTAGAAACAAGTAATTTAATGCACCTACTTTAATATGCCATATATTCTCCCCTTCAGCAATATTAGTAGCTTCTGAAACATTTAAACTATATGAAATGCTGAAAATCGATTTTTAAAATCAATTATAAGACAACATGGGTACATAATAATAATGCTCATAGAGCATTTAGCGTGTGCAGATACGAACCATTTAATAAAATATTTGAATTTAAATTTGAAATACGATGAAATCTAACAATGCTACAAGCTCTATGCATTTGCAAATAGGGAAAAGCGTAATTGAAATTTTAAAAGCCTTTTAATTTAGGTCGGAGCGTGTAGAAGGATTAATTAGAAACGGACTTGTCAAGCTAAGTGATATAACTGGCATGAGGTTGACAATACACAGAGATGCTACTTGTTCTAATGAACCATGTCCATACTTTCAACAATGTAGAAACACTCAAAAATATGTCAAAACAACGCAGGTAAATAGAGGCTTTCTGAAATTTTGCTGTAAAATAAAGGAATCACATTCGTTGGATGTATCATTCGATGGATTCCTTGCATCAAACTTTTTCCATCAATTCGTTAGATAAAGAAATTTTCAATATTCTCAAATGGATAAAATCTTGAAGTGGAAAATGGGCAGTTTCTTATAAATTTAAATTTCTCTCTTTTTTCTTTCTTTTGATGAATGAAAAAATTTTTTCAATGCAAATATTTCAATACGCCATGTGAACCGCTACCTAGCACAGTTCAATTTGAAATCAAAATAAGTTTGAAACAAAAATTCCAGAATTTTAAAACGGACAATTTTTTGATGCATTCTTTGGATACTGTCAATTCGTTTCAATGTGTATGTCCAGCCGGATTTACAAGTTAGTTTCATTTAATTTTAATTTATATGCTACGGATATGTATGATTTCATTCATAATTACAACAATAGATGATAGAGCATCGATCAATTTCTTAATTTTCATGCATGTCACATTCGACTAATTTTGATGACAGATGGGTCAACCAATTTCAACACTTGTTTTCCCAATGAAATCTCTCACTAAAACACAATATATTGCTTCGTTTTGCATACATATATGTTTATCTTATTTAATGACGAAGATAAGAGATGCTAGGAAGACAGCCTTAAGGATCAAAACGGATTTTCCCATTAAACATTTTGGGGTGTAGAAAGCCCAATGAAACACATCTTATCATCAATAAATCATTAGCAATTGAGTAATTTAATTACTTTCTATGGGCTATCTATATGTGTCTTTCTGCCTTTGCGAGAATATTTTTATATGAATTTGTGTATTTTAATATATTAAATTAAGATATAAATACGCAAATAAGTGAACATATATATATATATACTATCCGCAACATTCGTCATCTCTTTGCATGAATGCGCCAAATTTGAGCAATTGGCCTAGTGGTTGACTTACTGTCACCCATAGTCCTTTTCAAATTAGTGCTGGACAATGAGATCCATTCCATTAAACATTCATTAATAGTCTGCAAACAAGGCAAAATGATTGATTTCAGCTGGCAGTTATTCAAAAGTTAGGAAAAAAGCGTTGAAATGTCATTCGTAAAACTATTATTACACGGATCAGTGCCCTTATATGATATGACACATTATTCATTTTAGCTTCATATTTCATAACGAACTTGTCAATTCCAAATTGAAATATATAATATAATCATAATGAGAGGGAGAAAAAAGTGGACAAGGGAGCACGTAGTAACTTTTTAATTAAAGAGGGCACTGAAATGACATGCAAGTGTGAGTCAATAAACTACCGTGTAAGATAAAAATCAAATTAAAATCCTTCTTAAAATTATCGATTATGGTAATATATAATTTGAATATTTATCGCCGATAACGGTAATTGTGTCAAAGAAAAGAGTAGTTATTGAAAAAAAAATTTTTTTTATGCTTCTCAATATTTGTTACAGATAGATTTTAACCTGTCTTATGTAATATCATCAGCTTCATAAATAGCAGAAATTCAATAAATATTTGATATAGATAACAGTAAAATTTTTTTTACAAATCAAATAAACAAATGTTTAGTTTTTCAGATCTTTAATCATTCTTGGTACATTTACCTTGCATCTGAGCGTGGTCATTTTGGTTACTGCCCCTCAGCTTGGTCATTTTGATTACTGTCAATTGAAAATACTAAAAGTTAACTGGGAAAGATGTTGTGGCTCTCAAAATTCTGCAACCAAACTGTTTAATAAGTTTTACAGGTGGCGATGGCATTGAACAATCCTGTAATTATCGTCTTGATATGTGTTTCACATCACCATGCCAACATCAGGGTACTTGTGTATCACTAGAAAATGGATATCGTTGCGATTGTCCACCACAATGGACAGGTTATTTCATAATTTAATTACATAAATTGTCGGTTTAAATGAATTATTTATGAAATTGATAGTCTATCACTCCCAAATAGCAATTAATTTTTATTGAAGGAAGTCAAGTAGCTGAAAAATTTGCAATGAAATAGCAATAATTATGATAACTTCGAATTCCTTTTGCTCATTTCATTATAAGTGAAATAATTCTCAGCAGAAATATCCTCTGAAACAATCAATTTTTAATTTTTTTTAACTTCATCAATAGTTCGCAGCAAGAAATTTAAGAAAATTTTCAAGCGATTTTCGGTTGCTTAACAAGTAAGCTTGAAAAATGAGAATGAGGAGAACATAAAATTTCATTACAATTTTAAGATGCTTGAACACATTCGTTAGATTAATAATTATTAATAAAGTTTTGCTGTTCAAATAAGCTCATAAGATTTTTATCATAGCTAGAGAAATAAGTATTGAAAAGAATTTAACATCAAGAAGAATAACATCAATGAATAATTGTTAGGAATAAAAATTCTTGGAGTAGCACAAGACGAATATGTAATAATAACACTTAGAGTGATATGAATAAGTCCTTAAGGCTTCTTTTACCAACCCTTTTTGGCTCAGAAACTAATAGAATAGTAAGAGCTTTTAATGATGATTTGACCCGTTGGGTGCTGAATAATTACCATTCACAAAATGCTTATTTTCCTGTGCCCAATGTGTTCACATCTTATCCATAGATTTCATTTCTTTTCTTCCTTCTCGAACGACAATCCTAATAAGCTTATATGCAAATGTTCATATAACATTAATGCACTTCATTTCATTTCATTTCATTTCTCCCAAGGGATCGTCTATAACTCTAAATCACTTTCTCTGTAATGGATATCACAATGAATTTTCAAGCTAGAAAAACTTTAATAAAATTTAACAAAAAAAAAAAAAAAGTCATATAGATAAAATTATATGATAAAAAATGAAGACATGAAAATTTTTATTAACTATTAGTGATTATTATTTAATTAAAAATTTACAAGTAATGGGAAAAAAAATTATTTGAAAGTTATCGATGAGATTTCTCAATGGAAATCTTTGCATTATTGTAAATTTTTAAAATTATTTTTAAAGATGAAAAGCTAAACAACAAATATTTGATCAAATAAATTTGATTTAGTGTTACATCATTCAAAAGAAAAAAAAAAAGATTCGTTTGAGAATAAAAAATTATTTCTTTTTTTCATTGAAATTTCTTGGAAATTTCAACTACTGTTAACCTAACAATGAAATAGCATTCTACAAATAATCAAATTTTTAAGGCGAAAATTGCGAGAATTCAGTTTATGTGGACAATTGCTTACCTAACTTGTGCTTCTCGAATTCTGTCTGTAAATTAGTAAATCGAACAGCCAAGTGTATACAGTGTCGTTGGCATTCTCATGACACAGACTCACAGTGTAGACTTCGTTCATTGTCGTTTGGAGAAGATGGTGGTTACATCGTGTTACCTCTACAGATTACTCGAATGCACTGGAAATTGCAGTTTAGGTCTGTGAAAGTTTTTTTAGTTCCAAATTTCATTTTTCAATCTTTTTAGTTTAAACTATTATTATGTTTAAGAATGATAAATCATATTGTAGAAAAGTAATAGCAAAAAGATTCATTCATCTTGTTGAAATGTCTGAATCGAATAATTTATATTTAGTATAGCAACAGTGGAATCAAATGGTGTAATGCTTTTTGCCGGAAATTTGTCATCCGATTTTCTAGAAGTATCACTCGAGGATGCACTTATTCGAGGACGGTTTTCCTTAGGTCATGATATTTATGAGGTCACTTTTTCTTTTCAAATCATCGTCTACAAATTTAGCTTTCTTTTTATTAAAAGTTACCAGTTCTAATTCTATTTTTGGCTATGAAAATTATTTTTTGTTTGAAATCTGTTAATTAAAAATAGACTACATCGAGTGTTACAAATTATTCAGGTCAGAATGGATGATTGGCCAGAAAATCGAGTAAGTGATGGGAAATGGCATCAAATAACACTTGATTATTATGATAATGTTAGTCGATACTTGATCTTTCAATATTTTTGATCGCTAAAAAGCTGTCATAAGCTTCCAAAAGACCTTTAGGAAGAAAATGAGATAAAACAAAATTTCATATTTCATTCAATATAGTTTAATGAATTCAGAAATTGATCATATCACTGGATAATTGCGATGCTCATATTTCCATGAAATATAGTAATGTCACCGGTTATCAGAAATGTGCCGCTGAGGTCATTGCAAAATTACCGAAAAAGTTCGTTAATATTGTCAAGATCCCTTAAATTTTATTGGAAGAAGTAGGATGAATGATATGCATACTTTTTTTTATGCGAATTTTTAATAATCAGAAAGTAAAAAAGTGAAAAATTATAGTTGTAGTATTGAAATGTCTTAAGTAATTTATGTAATAGTAACTTAAGTAAAGTAATAAATTACTCAAAAACTTCACTTATAGATGTGAAGATCCAGCCGTAAGTTGTTATCGATTCTTCGATCTTCCTGCTGCTATAAATCTTGGCGGTCGAACAGTAACTATTGCTGAACAGAATTATATTAGTGGAATTGATGGTAATCAGTATAGTTCAGCAAGAATTCAGGAACCATTCATCGGATGTATCTCAAATCTAACTTTTGATGAAACAATCGTGGATTTTTCAAAATTTGAAGAATTTGAAAAATTTGGAAACTTACAACCTGGCTGCAAACAAAAAAGAAATGATTGTCACAGTAATCCTTGTCATCATACTGCAATTTGTGAGCCAGCATGGGATGGATATCATTGCCGTTGTAAAGGAACAACACATACAAATGGACCTTGCACTGATAATGGTACACATTCTGTAATTAAATTATTAATTCATTTTAAATATGAAAATTGAATTTCGAAGTGATTATTATTATTATTATTACTATTCAACATAGTGCTCGTAATCATCGTGTATGTATATGAAGTGAAGTTTTTGTGATACAATTTTTTTTCTTCACATATTGGCTAGGATTTTTTATTTGTGGGAGATTGAAAATCACTGAAATTCATCTCTTTAGAAGATTCATTTGTTTCACTGTATGATGAAGAATCGTTCGTCTTCTGGAATGTACCAGATGGTATGAAATTCCACAATTTGTCATTTGAATTTCGGACACGTTCACGTGCAACACAAGTTATTGCGGTTGAATTTTCTAAAAGATCACAATTCATTATTTTCTCGGTATGCTTTTTCATTACTTATTTCTTTTGAGTTTATTGTTCAAATTAGACTAATTTATTTATCCAATTAATTTATCAGCACAATAATGGTTGGCAATTATAAAGTAATCCTTCATGCTTAACGTTTTAAAGTTAAAAATATGTCGCAAGAGATTCGGAAAGGATTATTTTTACGTGTTGGATACGTGTGTGTGTGTGTGTGTGTGTGTAAATGTGACACAGCGATTTGCAATATCGTAAACGAAAAATTTCAAATTTGAAATATTTAAGCGCTAATTTGTTTTTAAAATTTGAAGGTAAGTCACGGCAAAGGATTGATAAGCATTGGTCCTGAACAGTATTTGTTATCATTTCCAAATTTTGCTGACGGTAATTTGAAAAGTCTTTCAATTGTTGTCGAAAAATATTTTACGCTTGTCGTCATCGATCACTTATACAAAAAGGTTTTAACTTCTATCTAACATTTTTTTTAAATTTTTTAAAATATATTTTTCAAGTTTAAATGACCTAAAAATTTAAATAGGAAATTTAAAATGCTACCTATATTGTCTCAGAGATTTTATTCACGTCTCTTCTCTTCTTTGTTGCTTCATTGAAGCTTCCAAATTCCAACCTGAATTTTCATCAGACAATTTCAATCATTCATTCAAATTTCAGCGTATTGTTTTGCAAAATAATGGTTTATATCGTGACATACGCAAAATTTATTCGGGATTAGCACCATCAACTAGTTATCCACAGCGTTTTGAAGGATGCCTTCGGAACGTTAAAATCAATGATCTACGGTTGAAATTAGCTGAAAATATGATGACAAAGCCTGGTTGTCAAGTATTAATTAATCATCTTTTATATATATGCGAAAATGTTGCATAACACCTGAAATAATATTAACTTTGGATTCTCATCGCCATTTTCTTAATTTCACCAAGCGTTAAAAGAAAATTATTTCGATGTTGTATTTTTCAAGAAAACGAATGCTTTGAAACTTCTCTTCCGTTTTATAAAATCAATTTCCTGAGTTAAGGTACCAAACGGATGTAATTCACCAAAAGCCTGTCCTCCTAACAGTATTTGTGTTCGTGAATGGGACCGGCATCGTTGCGAATGCAACCCAGGTATTCATCATTTTCGTTTTTAGCAGTTTATTGCGGTGAAATATTTTAACAGCTATTTTTCCATAGTATAAAATTAATGTAATCTTCGGGATTACCTTCAAAAGATACTTAGAATTTCAATTATCGTTAGAAGTAGTGAAGGATATAAACTGGAATTTTACAGGTTTCATTGGTGATGGATGCGTCAATATTTGTTCATTACCGAATTTATGTGGTAAAAAAGGCATATGTCATACAAAAAATAATTCGAAAGGTTACTTTCATTTCATCTCATCTTGTTTGTTTCAGTTAATTTTTTTTATTTTCGAAAATTTTATCTTTTTTGTTATCATTTTGAACATCAATTTGAGTTCATATGACCATAAAAATTGCTAATTTTTTTGCTTATGTTTTCATTTAATTCTAGTTTATATTCATTTGTTTTACTAATTTGAGAAAATCGAAAGACATCAATTTTAGGATATAAATGCATCTGCAGTGAAGAATTAAGTGGACAGAATTGTGAACGTAAAAGAGCGTTGCAAATATGTCCAAAAGGATGGTATGGTACTTTCCCGAAATGTAAACAATGCTCCTGTGATACTGAAAGAGGTTTCCTAGAGCAGTGCAATACTAAAACGGGCGAATGCTATTGCAAGGTTACCTTATCTTCTCGAAAGTATTTCCATTTATTTATTTATTTTTTTTTTTTAATAACTTGTCAAAAAGAGAAAAACAAAAAATGAGTTCTAGAGTGGCACCTATTATTCGGGTGATGAATGCGTATCCTGTGAATGTGGTTATGGTTCCTCAGACTTAACTTGTACCTCGAAAGGTCAATGTCAATGTATGGGTGAGGCAGTCGGTCGTCGATGTGATCGATGTTCTGGTTCAGATCAAGTTCTAGATCGAAAAACTTTGAAATGTTTGAAAATTAGAAATAGATGTCCATCAAACATTGAGTATGGCATTCAGTGGCCAACGACAATTGTTGGAGCAACTGCAAGACAAGTATTGTCTTTTTGTCACCTCAAATTACCGTTATTATTCAAGTTATTAATTAGACATGAATAAGCAGGTAAATTTCATTGATGAATCGCCTTATCCACGAGGCATTAAACAATTTTATAATCTGGAAAGAACCATTCATTACGTTTTTCGACTTTTTATGAATTTGTAAGTAACATAGTACTTTTCCGAGTTATTTCACGACATTCATTTTACTGATCTGCTTTCTTTAAGAGTTGTCCAAATGGTGAAGTAGGTTTGGTTATACGGAAATGCTTGAAAAGTGCCTACTGGGATCAGATCAACAGTTATAACTGTACTCATCCTGCCTTCACTAAGGTAATATAGTTGTAGTGAATATTAATTAATTCTTGAAATATTCCAAAGATTTTCATATTTGATTTTGATATCACTAAATTTTTGTGGGTACAGAAATTTTCAACTATGCTTTGGAATATGTTGCTTTTATAAATATGCAAATAGTATTTCGAAAAACGCAAACATTTGTAATTTTTAGTTAAATTTTACTGATCGGACGAAACTTGTACAAACTTTATCAAATGTGACAAGCAGCATACTGCATTTGAAAGGTGTCAATGTTGCTATTGTGAGAAAAGTAGTAAAACAATTGATCAGGGATGAACTTACTGGAAATAATTCACCCAATAGTCATTTAAGGTTTGTATCTTATTTCAAAAATTCAAGCAAAATCTTTGAGTTTAAAGAAAAGCTTTAAAATCAAACTTTTAAAAAGTTTTATATAAAGTATAATAAATTGTTCCCTCTACCATAACTATTTGCAGGTCAGCTGATTATACCAATAACTTATTGAAAATGGGGGACAGTTTATTAAAAATAAAAGATTACCCAAATAATGCGCACTTAATTCGCCTATTCAACGATTATGGTGTCCATGTAGCGAATTTGCATCAAATTCATCCTTATCTCAAACCATTTATGTTTTCCGGACAAAATATGGGTTATTTTTTTTTTCCATTTTTTGTATTAAAATGCAATAAAATCACAGATAACTAAAAAAAAAAATGACGGATTAAACGGAATTGGCTTGTTTACTAATAGCACAGGTATCTTTTAAAAGTTCTACTCCAGTTAGATTAATTGTAGTATAGTTCGGAAATATTTCTCTCTTTATTCTTTCCGCTGGTCTAAATAGCAATACAGGCGGAGGAATTTTGCATACAATTTGAACTGCTTAATTGTCATTTTCAAAACAGTTTAAATTTAATTTTACACATAGAACACAATACATTCAGATAGACTTCCGAAATAAAATCTCTTTAGCGTCATTTAAATTTTGACATATACATATATATTTTTTGGAAAATGATGATTTTTTTTTAAAGGATTAAAATATAATCTATGTAATTTAATTTGCTTAGTTTTTGCAGTATTCGCAGTAGATGAGATCTCTGCAGATGGAAGTCGAATATTGCCGAAATTCAAAAATTTTGTGGACGAACGTACGGAGAATTTTCGTAGTATACAGATGAAGCTTCTATGTGAAGATACAATAGCTTATCCGAGAAAAATCACATTTTACAGTATGTTCAACAATGTGGATCGTTTTCACTGCAACGCACCAATCGTTGCCGTTTATTACAATGCCACATGTGCAATTCAAGTACTGTTTCCGGTTAGCGAAGAAGCTTGGAGATATCCAGAATGTGTGATTGTAGAAAATCCGGCAAAAGAAGACGAACTGTCTAGAACTAACGATTGGGCAGATGGAGATATAGATGCGGGAAATGTATTTCTTGACTGGTCTGCAAAAAGAGCGACACTTGTAGGACTTAATCGTACCCATGCTATTTGTAATTTCGAAAGATCCGGTGTTTACACAGTTATTATTCGGCCAGATCATGGAGCTCTAGTAAGTAAAATTTTTGAAATCGGATTAATTCGAAAGGAATGAAAATTTGGAGAAATGAAATTTCTATTTCATTTCTTAAATTTCTAAATTCTTAAAGCTAAAAAATTTCTTTAAACGTTAACTTGCAGATTCGTTTTATACCTTCAAAAACCATACCTTATTCTGGATCATTATGCATGATATTTGCTCTTGTGTTACTTCTACTATCAGCAGTCCGAAGTCTTTATCGGCCTTGTCTACGTCTGAGACTTCTTCGATTTGGCTTCATTCTTATGTTTGTACTCGATGTGGTCGCTATTTTCCTAATTCATCGCCTTCAACCAAGCATTGTATTTCTTTCTACTTTTGAATTTAATTCCCAACTTTTGAGTTTTGGTTTTGCATTTAACTTTAAAGTCATCGTTTTTTGTGAAAATAGAGCATTTCGATATTTATTATACCTACTTTTGTAATTCATTGTAGAATTAAATAATCCAAAACTCAAATTTTGTTCCGTCTATTTTATTGACATTGTAAAATCTTTTCAGGTATTTTGCCTTGCACGGAATACAATTATAAGCTTATGCACTTCAGCAGTATTTGCATGGCTTTTTATGTATTCTTTTCACATTTATCGACTTCTGGCAACAGGAAAGACAGAGTCGAAGTAAGTTTTAGGATGATTTAGCTATTAAAAAATTAGTGTCCTTTAACATTTTTTAAAAAATAAGATAAATAACTGACTGATTTTCAAATACTTTTAATTAATATAGCGCTATTAACAAACCAACATAAACTATATATTTTGTGTACTTATTTATTTACTAGTGTGCTTTCAAATAAGGACAGATAACGTGTCACATTTTCAAATTTTTACTAATTTTAAATGGACATTTTTCAGTTACTGGATGATAATACTATGCTCAGTAATTATTCCAATACTGTTATCACTAACATCGTTCTTCCTTGCTCCAGGATGTTTACTTTCACCAAACCAGCCTTTCTTCTGGGTTCTCCTGATTCCTGTTGCACTTTATATTTTGGTAATTTACTTTTTGAAATATATATATTTTTTATTTATTACCTGACTTCATCTCCGTTTGCTCTCCTTTTTCCTACTCGATTTGTCAATATTTTATCAAAAATTTTCGAATTGCTCAGTACTATAAACACAACATTCCCTTGCATCGTTTACCTTTTTTTTTTTTTTTTCATCCTATCTTGTCATCACAGAAATAAACATTGCCTACATATATACAAAATTCTTCCTCAATTTCTCCACATAAAGTTATGAAAAGTTTGTTACTCACTAAAGTAATCAATTGACAGTAGTAGGATCACACCTATCAATACTGCACTTTTATCATCGATTTTTTACTTAATGGTTAGATCAGCCTAGCAGATATAAGATCAGAATTTTGGAAAAATAATATATCTACTTAAGTTCAAAATGTACCATAAGCAAGTCATATTCCAATAGATGATTAAATATCCTTTGTCATCTTGGAAATATCACCATTGCTAACAACGTGATTGATAATTTCTTCGGTATTTGAAATGCTGTTGAATTTACTGAATTACCGCTTACTTCTAAGTTTATCCCTAATGCTTGTGTAAATGCAAGAAAATTTTAAGTTTTTCAATTTTTTCTGATTAAAAATTTTTTTCTGATTTTTTTTTATATATTTAAATTTTCTGTTTTTTTAAATTCGACGGTAAATGATGATAAAAGTTTCAGTTTGATTTCTATGCGTTTTCGACAGCTCTTCTGATATCTTTTAGCAAACAATTTGACTGTATGGTCACTGAGTATTCCATCCGAACAACACTTTGGTTACACATTATTCTGGTTTGTTTTCATTTTGTACAAATCAAATTACTCAATTTTTCAAGTTCCAAAATATTTGTCAAATGTTGGAAATACAGCCACAAGTAATTTTGATAATTGATGGGACAATGCTGAATAAGTAATTATACTAGAAAAAATGTTAAATTAATGACATCTGATAGAGTATATGAATTTTTTGAAATCTAGTGGCATCCAATAAAAAAGATAAAGAAATTTTCTATTGTTTCGTCTTTGTTTCGGTATCATTGTTCATTTCACAAAAATCTTTCACCAGCAGTTTTTTTTTTTCTCACTTTAACCTCTTTTTTACTGGAATTTATATTTTTGTTCATTTTAATGAAAATGGAAATGAAAACTGAATGAGACGTTCAATTAGGTCAAAAGGATAAAGAATTTATTACATAAAAGTGTCCTTTTTTATCAATTTAGAAAATTTGATTACAGAAAAGTAATCGTATGATTAACAGAAAAATGTTTCAAACAAAAGAAGACACATTTTTTCAGTCTATGTTATGCGCATTCTATAATTCTTTTGGTCTTTATATACTATTCGATCATGCCGACAATCCACTTTATGAAATTGCGCTCAATTCGACATTGGTTTTTGTCGCTACCTATATTTTTCTATGGACAAATTATTTTGGTCCAAAGGTACTTATTATTACCATCACCAAAAATGACTTTTGTTATGAAAAAAAAAAAGAATAAAAAAACTGAAGTCATTAATAACATTTCTAATTGAAAAAAAAAAAATGTATAAAATGAAGTTTTTAATGGTTTTAAAATGATTGCTTCAATGTTCTATCTATCAAATGCTTCAGCGATTTTTTGTTTAAGAGTCACTCGATAATATTAACTTGTTCCCAAATAATTTCCAAATAATTCGATCATATACAATCTTACTTCACACCTAAAAATGCTTTAAACATTTGAAAAACAATCCTTATAGAGTAAATATACTCAAATACTTTCTTGAATCACTGATATTAGATATTCACTAAAAGGTCACTGCATTGAATATCTTAACACATAACATATCGCTTAAACGTAGCATCAGTAGAGGTAAATTTTTGAGAGGAGAATTTATAACTGAATTATTATTATCAGATATAGGAGTTTTAAACTGAATTATAACTAAATTATTATTATCAGATATATAGGAGTTTATAATACGGAATTTCAAATATGCTTTCCTTCTCGAAATTATGTCGTCATTTAAAATCTTATGATGGCAAGTTTAGGGGTCACAGGTGAAACTCATATTCATAGCCTTTTTTTTTTTTTTTTTGTGACTTATTCAATAGAGTATTTTATAGCAGAGAATTGCTTAATTAGAAGCTATGTAGTATAATGAGAAGAAGAGAATTTAGTTGTGTTTTTAGCGGAATGCTCGTTATGATAACGGTTTATGGATGAATAATTTGCCGAAAAGTGCGGACGAAGTTTTGGGTCCTCAATGTCAAACTCCGCTCTTGTTGCAGTCATCGAATACAGGTTCACTGTTCATTGTTAATTGTAAAATATCATCAGATTCATTCTGGTTTTTATTTCCAAATTTCATAACTTATAGAATTGATCATTTATAAAATATTTTAAAGTATTCATTAATTAACTATTAAAGATGCGGAACTAAGTGGAAACTGTGTTAATGGATGGATGCCAGATATCATACCTTCAACAACATATATACAGCAGGAATCAATCCACGATGTACCACATCCAAAAATTTTAAGTCCACCAATGAAAATACTCCATCATGAAGCATATGGTAGTGCAGAAGGAATTGCTTTGCTTTATCAGGATAACTGTCCAACTAGTGATATCGATCATATTTATGGTACCACTTCTGGCAAACATCATTATCCATCCTTTACTTTTACTCATTAATACTATGCTGTACATGATATTATTACTGTTAGTCGGGTTATTATTGCTTTTTATCATGATGTGCTCGAAACAAAATCATTGAAAATTATGCACTAAATTAAGAAAAAGAATAATCAAACTTGTCTAATAAATTTATTTAACCAATCATAAATAAAATAAATTTATTTAAATTATTATTGCAACTAAAATTAGCAAGACTGATTTTTTTTCCAAGAATTTCTCTTTATTTTATTATTTGTTAAATAAATAGTGATTTAGTTGATTTGCTACTATTATGCAAAACATAAATATACAATGAAAGCTTGAATCATTTCTAATGTGGAAAAGATTTATGTAATTAACAGTAAGGAAATTTCAAATTATTACGACAAAACTTTAAGCATTGTTTGAATAGCATATCTAATGTGCAATGCATCAATTATGTGAAATGTTTCTTTTTCCTTTTTTTGATTTTAAATAATTTGAATTTACTATTTTAGCGATACTTGTAATTTCATGTGTATACACTTCCTTTTCCTTTCACATTTTAAGTATTTATTTTCCAAGTTTAATTTCTCTTCAACTATTTTTTGAATGATTTCGTTATGTTTTTATTTGAATAATGTTGTAAGAATTACTGCAGAATGCAATTTTAATTTGACAAGAATGCATAGATAATAAAATATGCAACATGTGACACACAACGTTATAGCCATACCACAAAATGCCTGTATAGAAGGGTATTTCTCATCGAAATCATGTCAAATCATTAATTAACCTGGTGCAAGATCTAAAAGTCTCAATCACTTCAATTCATTCATTCATCTTGGGTTAACCATCCGATAATGTTTATTATTCCATTTGTTTTGTCAATAACAAATGTCGATTTCAAAATTTTTTGCAAAATATATTGCAATGATGAATGAATGCAATAAATATCTCAGTGTTTACAAGTATGTGTGTGTGTGTGTGTGTGTGTGTGTGTATGTGTGTATGTGTGTGTATCTATATTTGTGTCATTAAGATTTAAAGTCATTCATCATGAAGCGACTGAAAGTGGTTTAAAAATAATTAAAAAAAGAATGGATATTTGTCGTGTCACTTTAAATAGACCAATAAAGTAGGAAGAAATGAAATAAATATTGAACCTTCCATTTTACATGCCAGTAGTATATCATGTCACTTGGTGTGCTTAAATCACTTTTTTGTTTTGAATGTAATTCATAGATACTTTAGTGGTTATATGGATTGAATCTTATTTAAGGTTACCTGGAATTCATCTTTTTCCATTGAAATCTATCAGAAATTATCTTTATTTAAATTATTTGTCACTTAATTCTTCATTGCTTGAATGAAATATTAGCAATACCATACCAATTATTGTCCATATTTTCTCTCTTTTTAACTTTTGCAAAAACCGTTTATTAGGACGAATTACAATTAAGAATTATTATTTTATAAACCAATGGAAAAGTAACCAAATTACGGACTATTCTTACTTTTCCAACTTTGGTCTTCTCATTGAGAGATATTATTGTTGAAAATCCATTTAGAAGCTGAAGTTGATATTGAAGAGAAAAGTAAGTGATATAGAAAAGGAAAACTATAAAGTTAGATAATTAATTAAAATTTTTTAATAATAAAGCGATTTTTTTCACAAATTTACTGATTTTATATCAAGCTTCAATAGTAGTAAAACTATTTATTTCAAGTAAACTTTGAAAATTTCAAATTGATGTATTGAAAACAAAAATAAAGCTTAATGAAACGGTCTGTAGAAATTATCTTGTCACTCGATTTTTTCCAGATTCGAATTTCTTTGAGAAAATAAATCAATTTGAATTTAGCAGCAATTCCTAAACAGCAAATAATTAAACTCTACTGAGGTAAAAATAGTGAGAGTACTTCGAAGGATTCTGTTCGTTTAAAAAAATGCAAACGCATAGTCGGATAATCTAGTTTTCATTTGAAATTGACATTCACCAGTATTTTCTTTTTTCGAGAATAATGTAGACTTAATTCGCTTCATTTTCCACCGAAATGATGAACATTAGATGAGAGATACAATTTATTGATTTGATATCATCGTGAATATCTTCAGAAATACAATCAATATGTTAAAACTGTATCAATATATCAGAAATGAATTATATCGGATAACTCCATGTAAATTCATATGCGGCAACATGGCTATTTAGAAGTGATAAAGACCTTATCAGCATTTCTGAAATGTTTAATAGTGGCAAAGAATAGTATGTCAAAATAGATTATGAAGTTATCTTTTACTCGAATATATCAAATTCCGCTTTATCCAGATTTTGTACTAAAAGAGAAAAAAAGTTGATTACAGAAAAAAATTTTTTTTCAGGGTATTTCAAAAAGCATGACGAGAAGCATAATTTGGCTAATTCTATTGTTAAGCGGAATCATTTGTGAAGCGCAATATCACAACTGTTTCATGTCCGGTGGTTATTCCGGACGGTCAACATGGTGCGGCGAAAACTCGAAAGATGAAGAGAATTTGAAGGATCCAGTGGAAATAATGAAGCGTGCAAAGGAATTCCTCGAAAAGCAAAGTAAAATTATGTTTGATCCAATGACATGGACAATAAGACCATCAACACCACCACCACCCATCAGTATAACACCGGTAGCTACAAAAGCAAATGCAGTACTTAATATTCAACCTGATGTAACCGGAGCAAAATTACAATCATCATATATCCCGTTATATTCGGTAGCACTGCCTAACAATGCCAATTCATTCTTTACTCCTACTTCAGGTATTCCAACAAATGGTAACAATTTGCAGTTGTTACCATTTGTTGGAATAATCTCTCCGGAAAATTCGCACAGTCTTCAGAATATTCCTATTTCAACTAGCCAAGCAAACCAACCTGTCCGTTTTGAAAATTCGGAGCAAATAAATGTACAACAACAGCAATTTCAGAATCAAGCAAATCACTTGCTAAATAAAACAAATGAAATGCCCCTTTTGTTGAAAATACCACCAGCAACTTCAGCATCAAAATTTTTCGCTGAAGAGCAGAATCTAAAATTGAAAGAAAATAATGACTTAACAGATATAGGTAGCATAAAACCGGTCAGGTTAGTCTTAAATCGGCCATTAGCAGCACTCTCATCCCGAAAAGACAATCAATCAGTGAATGCTTAACTCTTTCCATTCATTCAAAAATCTCAACATCAGTTTTACTCGCTCAATCACTCTTCATTTCAAACAACAACCAACCTACCTACCATCACATAGCACCTGATGGAAACTTACTGCTAATTCCTTTCTGGCTTACTATTTATTAGTTTAGCATTGCTACATGCTATATTTGTAATGTAAACCTATTTCAGTTAGCCTTCTGCCTTTTATGTAACAAATTTTCCTATACATTCTCGTAAAATAAAATATTCCTCCCACCACAAGAAGTGAAATTTTGTGATTTCTTGTATTATAAAATTAGCATAAACAAATGCACACCACACGGTCCAAAAATAAATGACATACCGCCACCACTATGCAACAGCGACTTTACAAGTCCTACCTCCCTCTAATGATATATATACACACTTCTTTTATTTTTCCTTTTGTTCAGTGGACAGTCCAAGTTTCTGACATTATTTATGCTAACTGGGAAAATATAAGTATTTTGATGACATTCCTTGAAGTTCATCTATTTTTGAATATATCTTTATTTCAAAACAAAAACAAAAACAAACACTTCAAACAGTATATGGTACAGCAGCTCTCTGTGATAATGCTATGAAGTAACAAATCTTGAATAAATCTATCAAGGAAATACATTTACCACCTAAGATCGGTGTTGGAATGAATCAATTATCATTTGATGATATTGATAAAAGGGGAAATCAAACAGTTCCATTCGACAAGTTTTTTTTTTTTTTTAATTGACAGTAAGACAACAATATGTCGTATTAAATTTTAACAACAACAGAGAGAACACAAATTCAATTTCTTGTTTTCTAGTTAAGTAGAGACGCATACCCTATTTTCCAGAAACTAAATCAAAAAAAAAATTAAAAATTTCAACTTTTTTTTAATTTAGCAAACCGCAATATAATATTTTTGGGATAAAAGAAAACAAAACGAAACAGAAAAAAACTATTTTCACAGATTAGAAAGTAAATGAAAAAATTATTAATCTTGATTGAGTGATGACAATATTGAGGTTCGTATTATTCGCTAGTTGGAAGCTTTGTTTGATCAACATCAGCGAAGTATGAATCGATCAGGAGCTGTTTTGCAGAAATTCGTTTCTCCGGCTCGTAAGTAAGCATTTTCTGCAAAAATATGCCGAAATAAAATGAAATAAAGAGTGCCCTAGAATCGCAGTGATAGAATAAGGTTTAAAAAGTCTCGTTTGATTTAAAATTTTTAGTCGAAAGATTCTCAACCTGCACGATCATAATGCCACTAATATCCATAAAGTGATCAAGAATTTCATGAAGATGGTTATTCTTCCACTTAGGGAATGTTTCTGAACAATTGGGCACATTTGTAAGAACACGCAATGTTTCATCACATGGAGTCGATAGCACACTGAAAGTGCAATTATAAAAAACCGTGCGATAAATGCAAAGAAAAAGAACATAATTAATAGACATGAAGTAAACCTGAAAATGCGAAAAATCTGATCAATGTTTGAATCACCCGGAGCAAACAGTGCTTTCTTCAGAGCCATTTCAGCAGCAATGCAGCCAATGCTCCACATGTCTACTGCCGAAGTATAACAAGTAGAACCAAATAGTAATTCCGGAGCCTTGTAATACTGAGTATGAGCCTGCAAACAATATTCAAACATCTAATTTTGTGCGTAAGCACGAGTTAAGAAGAAAATGAAAAAAAAAAAACCTTCTGCGTGTAGCATATCTCTGGCGTGTTAACTGCTTCATAGAAATGGAATCCAGAAAGCTTAAGAAAACCCTTATCGTCAACAAGTAAATTCTCAGGTTTTAAATCACGATGAAGAATATTTCTTTGATGACAGTAG